CTCTCTCTCTCTATCTCTCTCTTTGTCTCCCGCTCTATCTGTCTCGCTCTCTCACTTTGATAGTCAACTTTTATTTGGACTTTACCGTTTCGCGTTTCAGTTACAAATTTTGCAAATCATGCCACGAACCCAGCCCAGCCCTGTCCAGCGTTTTTCCGTTTTTCTGGCCAACTGCAGCCTCAGCTCTCGATGCTATTTATAACATTTTCTCGACTTTTTGGTTTTCGATTTGTATAGCTGCGGTTGCTGCCGCTGCAACTGCAACAGAGGCAGCAAGAAGAATGCGCCCCTTGTGAACTGCGCCCAATTTATAATGTGCGCTTTGAAGGCCTTTTGCCGATTGGACCGAAAGCAACAACAGACGGCGCCCAGGGAACTGGAGACCGGTGAATGTGAACGTGGAATCGCCAAAGCAATTGCACACACTCGTTTACCATTCATACCCGGTCATACGTATATGCTATATAGGGTATATTTGCAAAAGGCAGGTGAAACTCTCAACTCGTATTTACATTAATCTTAAAACCAAGCATTTGTTTAAAGAATAAATTAAATTTAGTCTGTTTATAAATATGCAAAAAGTTGGTTATTTACTTTAGGCATTCAAAGGTGAATGTAGAGAAAGGTATTTCAAAATTCTGCTGCACTTTGTTCTTGGGCATAAAAGATAGTTCAGACATGCGATAAAATGCCATACGATTTAACGAAATAGCCCCAATAGAGTATTACGAAAAGTATATTGTGTTTAAGAGTATATATCAGGTATTTCTGCAAGATTGCTGTCTATTTAAAATGATTTATGTTAATATATAATATTTATATCATATTTAAAAACTACTTTAAAATTTAATTATAATTTATTTATATTTTATATCCTTTTCTTTCTTTCTTTTATAATCTCGACTCACTTTGGTGCAGATATTTCGCAGTCGAACCTTAGTTTTGTGTTTGTTTTATCGACCAATGTTTACTGGACACAAACAAAACCAGCTGAAAACCAACACCAAAAATGTTTTGTGTCCAGTTGCTGCTGACTGCCACGGCGACTTTTATGCGTTATGTGCAACTCTTGTTGTTGTTGTTGTTGCTGTGTGTTTTGCATGGCGTGAATGTTGCACGATTGGAAAGATACGAGTTTTGGCTAGCAAATGCAATCTAAATGCAATACGCTCGTGACGTTCACACCCAGAAAGCAGCTTTTAAGTAATTGCATGAAACCGTTGGCTTATATAATAACAGGCGCTATTAAGTCGAGCAGCTGACCAACAAAATTGTTGCTAAAAACAACTCGAATTAAAAACAACAACAACACTCACTTTTAGATGCAATTGAAATAAATCAAGCGCAACTCAAGAGAAGTGTTTGGCAGTTGGTAATTAATTTGTTGTAAATTTTGTCAAACTTTTTTTTTTGCAATTTATTTAAGTCAAAGCCAAAAGTTGGCAGTCGAAAACAGCAAACAAAACCAAATTGTTGCTTTGATTTTATGTATTCATTGCAATTTTCAGTTGGCCTGCCAGTTGGACAAATGATGCCGCACAAAAATGTTGTTGTCAAACACTTTTAATGCAAAAACTTTTACGGCAACTGTGCAAATAGTATGCACATATAGTATACGATATATAGTAAATGGGCATATTCCACAAAGTGCTGTGCAGCTGTGAGCCTCAATCATGCCCAGTTGCACGTACACAGCTGCATCATCAACGTGCCTCAACATGGGCGCAAATTGAGTGGCAAACAGTGTGCCACAAACAAACAGGGCAAAAAAAAACAAGAAGCTACCACAGCAAGTGAGGCATGTAAACTTTATTTAAATGTTTCAACATACCACACAGACGTCTGCACAGTTATGACTGGAAAATGCTAGGAAAATTGCAAGGGCTCTCTAGATGGCCCTCTAAGATAGGCAATGCACCAGCCGAGCAAATACCATTCTACTGAATAACTGGAATCCACCAACAATTCCTATACCCTATAAGAGTTGGCTGCCAAAGAGACTATCATATACTATATACACATATGTATAAGCCCATTTTAAATGATAAAGATAAAAACAAAGGTTTAATTTCAAGATATACAAATGTTTTTTATTTGGGCATGCCCAAAGATATATCCCGAAATTGCAGCACAAACTCCTTACACCTCTTTACAGGGTATCTCTTGCATGTGGTTTTTGCATGTGCTAATAAGTCTACAAACTGTACTCGAGTCTCAGCAGTAAATTTGATATAAAATGTGAAAATACCGACTGAGCTGAGTTTTCACTTTTTGCAAATTGTATTTCAAATGCTTTGCAATTTCGCCAACCACAAAAACCCAAACTCAAGCGTTCAGAGTGAGGGACGTTTTTTGCGGCCGCAAAACAAATTAAAACATTTACTCACAAAATGTTGTTGTTGTCGTTGTCGTTTTTGTTGTGGCTATCCAAATGCAGTTAATGCCAGTTGCAACAACAACAACCACTAAACTGGCAGCCACAGAAAAGCAGCCCCCTCATTAGAAGCCCCCTTCGCCAACAAGCAACCCATTTCAATAAGAAAGTTATTCTCGCATATTTGTTGTTGTTGTCAACTGGCAGCTGTAATTAATCACATTTAATTTATCAATTGATGCCCCTCCAAATGCGCCGAGCTTAGCAAAACAATCAACAACAAAAAATACCAAAAATTATTAAAAGAGCTTACACAACATTAAAGCTGATTATAAATTAAAGATTGATGTGCTAATTAATAAAACAGAAGGAGTAAAAACCAAATTCAATTGCTGCAACAGTAATTAGAAATGATTAAATAATTTGTAGGTACAAATTGAATACATTTACAGCAAAAGCTGTTAAAGCAGTTTAGAATAAGCTCTTAATATATTTATTCAATGCAATTTAAATAATTTTAAATGAAATGGGCTTCTATTGTAAGCTTTTATGTATGCACTGATTGCAATTAACCGCACTTGAACTTTAGATGTGGACCAACAGTCACTTATTTGCCATGCAAATCATTTTTATGGCCAAAAATCTCTTATTAATATAGGGATCTATTTTTTGAAGAAATTTAACTCATGCTATCTTTTTTTAGTTAAAAATATTAGGATACATGGATTTTTTACTTTGTTAAATGTGGTTACATGCTACATGCCCGTTCTCTCTCATCTTTTCGCATTTAAAGGTCGAGGCCAATTTTCGTCCATATTTTCATCCTCCTGTTATGTCTAAAATTTTATTTTTAATCTCTTCAACATCCCTACCTGACAGAGTTGCCAGCCCTACATTAATATTCATTCATCAATGCTCATTATGTACTAAAAATGCTAATAAAACTATAAAGAATATTTGATTTAGGATTTATTTTATTCAAAGCTAGCATTTGACTCCAACTGTACTTATTCGTTTCAAGTCGATCTTCATTCTCCCTATGCTGATTATACTCCCCCTATAATAAGCTGTATTGTTTTTAAGGGTATGTTTAATATGTCATAGTAATTTGATTTGCATCTCCTAAAAGCGGAAAGAGAAAGTAGATGTACTGTTACTGGAACTTGGCTCTTAGGCTTAGACGGCGAATTATACAGGACCTGGTAGGTCAAAAATTCTCTAATTTAAAATTCATATTCACTTTCTTTAAAATATATATAATAGAGCTAAATTTGTTTCATATTATTGTCTTCATTTGCCTTTAAGTCTAAAATGCTGCATATCTGTAACCCTTTCTTTATGCTTTAGAAATCAATATATACACATAAAAAATAAATAAAAAAACAAATTTAAGTTAAATGTTAGCTTAAAACTGATCCAAGCAGCCTTTTTAAATAGACTCACCAAAATAATTCTCATTTCCAGCTCAAGTTAGGAGGCACTTTTGACCCCATTTTAATTCATTCAGTTGTCTTTTCTAAATTATGCTCATTGTTATATTAAATTGAAAGCTAACTTCAAACTTAAAGCTCATTCAATATAATTGAGCTCACTTAGAACATTATAATTATGCAATTACCTACCTCCTCGGACATACATATTATTCCCCTTCAACAAACTGCAAAGCACATATTCAGCTAGTTTAAGCCTATTTTTCGCTTGTGCCACTTGTTGCATTGCAATTTAAGCTCCTGTTTAATGATCAGCCATACAACAAGTCAATGCCAATGCGAGGCATTTGAACATTGGGCACAAACAAGTAACCTGGCCATGATGAGATTCTGGCTAGCACAGCTACTTCTGGCCAGTTGGCAGCCGTTTTAACTGTTGTGAATTTGTCTGTGGTCAGTGACCCAGGCAAATGGCCAGCGCACAAACCAACATAAGAAAAAGAAATTATAAAAAACAAACATGTTTTAAGGCGCCGCCGCATGTAGATAAAAAAAAAAGCATTAAAGAACGCGGCCTGCTACAATTTAATGCTCCCCACCCCTCAGGTCAAGGCGAATGGTGAGGGAGAAGGGGGGGAGGGGGGGAGGTACACAAAAAGACATTAACCGTATATGAATATGAATGCTCGTTAATAGCACCAGCTGCGGGACGAACTGACTATCCAAGGGGGGCGGGGCAGCTTTGCGTGTTAAATGCCATAAGAAAGATGAATAACCAGAACAAGAACAAGAAGAACAAGCAACAACAAGAAGAAGAAGAAGAGCTATAGAACGCACATGTAACTAAACAACTCGTGTGTGTAGTACATAAGCACATACATATAATTTTCATTATTGGGCGTAATTAAGTTCCCGAGAGATCGACAGGTTCGTTGTTTGAGTCTTTCGTTTTGGAAAATCTTTCTCGCTCATTATAAAAAACTAAATGGATTCTAATGAAGGTGCGTTCACATCAAAATTAATTCAAATGAACTCTGGCCGATTCTTATTGGCCAAGCTACAGGCCTACACTTGATTTATAGAAGACAATCTGGGAACTTTTGTGGGTCGTGGTCGTCTTTTCTCTGTTGTCATAGATTTGCATGCGTGCGAAACAATGGCTCACATTTGGGTAAATTATTCAATTATGTACTCACATTTCCGCCAGTTGATATTTATCTTAATGCTGCCCAGCCTGCAAAGAGAAGCAAAACGAATAAAGAAATTAACTCAGAGTGAAAATCCATTAAAGCACATTTTAATAGAGCTCATAAAGCTACCAAAAGTCTTAAAAAATAGCCTTTATAGCTGGCAGTGCTTGTTGCGTAAAAGATGCCCCCGGCGGGTCATGCAATCTCACGAAACTCAACTGCATACGAAAATTCGTAAAAACAATTTTGTATAAATTTTCGTATATGAAATGCGCTCAACTCAATCAGTCAAAGGTACTTTTCTGTGCAAAACTTCTGCAGCAGCATATGCAAAGTGTATCTGTGTGTGCGTGTGCGTGTGTAACTTTGTGTATGTGAATCTGGCTGCTTTTCAGTTTACCTAACTAACTGCTATTAAAAGCAAAGTGACAAGAAATATAAGTTTTATAAACAAAAATAAAACTTATTCAATTCGCAGTTGTTGTAGGCTATTAAATAACAAGTTGAGATACCCTGTAAAAAGCTGTATATTGCTCTTAATCTAGTTATACTACACATAGGCTCATGTATATAGTAGAAAACCTTCTAACTGCATGTTTTAGTTGGCAGAAGGCTTTCCTGACCTTTTAAACCAGGCACTAGGCTCCAGGCGCCCCCCCTCGGATGCCCAGCACATCCGCTGCGCATACTCCAGCCATAGATAAAGACATCTTACCACCTGTGGACGCAGGCTGAAATAGAGCCAACACGGTTTAGCTCACCTGCTGGCAAGCAGGGCCACAGAGATCATTTATCTACATAATACGTTTAAATCATCTGAGAAAAATAAGACATAATCCGTTTCTAATTCGTGTTATTAGACGAATTAATCTACGCCTAGATATTTGTTTTCTTTAAAAAACGTTCAATGTAAAACCTTACTGGCAAGTAGGTTCAGCTGACCTCTAAGAAAACCTCTCTGAACCTCTAAGTAAAAGGCTTATGAATCATCTGATAGTAGCTGCTAATTAACGACAGTTTTTTTATGATTTAATAAATCATTTTTAATTAGTAGCTTGTCTCATGTTCCTATGTATGATTAATATATGTATAATAATATATTTATATATATATAAACAATCACATTTTGCACAACCGGACTCACTAAGTCTATTTGGTAAGCTAACCAACTTTGATAACATACCTATTTAATTTCTTTTACTTATATCAATTTTCTTACCGCAGAACTTTATAAAAGTACTCGAGTATATTTATTTTGCGAGCCAGCATATCTTAAGTGTTTATGCATAGGAAAGTTTTTCCGCCAAATGCAAATTCAAAGTTTGTGCCGATTTTACATTCCGATCAAGCCTGCAATTTGCTGCTACACCTTCATATATCAAGCTCTAATTAAGCGGCCGCCGACTGACAAACTAGAAACATGGGAAGAGCTAAGAACGTTAAGACTTTAAGTGAGACGGAGAGAGAGAGGGGCAGAAACGGGGATGGAGGCGGGGGCAAAACTTGGCTGAATTGGTTAAACTTTTACTCGAGTAGACGGAGGAACGCACCGATGCCGCCACAACTCAAGGTATGTGCAACGGAAACTTGCGACTTGCCACTTGCTACTTGCAACTAAAAAGGGAAAAGAACCAAGAACGAAAAGTGGGTAGCAAAATTAAATTAAGCGCAAGTGTGGGAAAATGACTTGAAGCGTAAAGTAATAAGAAAATTTTGTGGGTTGCGCACTAGAAAAGCCTCCCCCCTCCCTCGAGCACACATAGACATTGGGGCAGAGTTCTACGAAGAACCAACGAAGCGTTCAACTTTAAAGACACATTTTTCAGGCCACGGTAGACTGTCAGCTGTAGGCGTGGCATATGTCAAGGTTGTGCACTGAAAATACCATGAGAAAGTGATTGAAACGGAGCCAAAAATAAAAAGGAGAGTAAGAAAATGTTGCACAATTTGCTGCAGAAATGATGCAACGTGGCTAAAAAGCTGGGGGCTGGTGGCCAGCTGCCGGTCGGGCATATTGGAATTTTTATTGGCATAATTCGCACAGGCGCATGTCCTGCTTTGTCCCTGCAGCCGGACAAGTGCCGGAGTAAATCATATTGAAGCCGAGCTTTTCTTTCAACAATTTTGGCAATTTTTGGTGCTTCAATTATCAGCAACAATAACAATGGGAATTTGCGGGCAAAATGAAATTCATGTACAGTGTTGAGCAGGTTCTCCCTCTCTCTGCCTCTCTGTATCTCTCCTTCAGTCTGTGTGTGTTGGGGTAAATTGTAAGTGTAGTAAAGTAATTGTTGGGAAAAGTTATAACTGCAACAAGATTGAAATGAACCTGCTGCAGAATGAATTGATTGGACAGAGTCGCCCGAAAAACCGAACCAAGTACAAAATTGAATTGATTTTCCATCAATGGACATGTAACTACAACTACAACAAATGTAAGAACAACAACAACAACAATAAAAACTACACATGCAGCTATGGACATGTCTGCTCTAGCATTTCGCCAGGCTGTCAGTTTGTACACGCACACCCACACACACACGTACACACACACACACGCTCACGCGCTGGCAGAAGCCATCAAAACGAACAGAGAAAAGCCAGGAAAAACTCTATGGGGCATTTATTACACATGCACAATGAAAGAGCGAGACAGAATTAGCGAGTGCGAGCGGTTGGGAGGCATCCAAAATGTTTATGCCTTGACCATTGAATTTGTGTACCGAAAATTTAATTTTCCATGAAATACAATTTTCCTTTTTTTTTTCATCTTCATCTACATTTTGGCAGCAATCCTTTTTGCTCTAGGGGCAGGTTGTGTGCGTGTGTTTGTATTAATGGATTGCATGCCCCAAAACTTGACCAAAGTTAAGTCTGTCCATAAATGGAAATTCACAATTTACAATTCCGATTTAACGCATTTTATTTACACACAATGTTGAGCCAGTTATTTATGTTTGTTTGCATTGGCCGCCTGCTTCGATGGTCGCCTCGGTTGCACATCATTTTAATCTTTAAATATTTATATTTTATTTTAAATTCGCAAAATAAATTTAATTAAATTTAATTGCCACAAAGGCGCCGTTGCATGTCACAGCCACGGGGCACAGATAGCCAGCAATTTATGTTGAGTTGGCAGTTTCAGCCTTAAAATGAAACACATTTACAATTATACAACTTTGGCATGATGAAAAATAAAATACTCTCTCGGAATATAATCGGATGTTAACAACAATCTGCTGAACAGTAAATAAAAATTTGTTTCTCTGTAACAGTTATTAATTTTAGCTTAAAGAAAAAAATATTCTTAAAAAAATAATTGAACGCATTCAGAATCTGTTCGAATTGAGTTCAATTGTACAGAAGAAAAAAATCATATTGAGCTTGAATGTGGAACTTTCAGTTGTTTTTTTGTTCGATTAATAACAATCTGCTGAACAGCAAAAAAAAAATTGTTTTTCTGTATCAGATATTAATTTTCCCCTTAAAGCAAAAATCTTTCTATAAACATGATTGAAAAACTTTTCCGACTCTGTTAATATAGAGTCCAAATGAACACAAAAATAAAAACATATTACATAATCCTATTAATAAGTAAATATTATTTACCTTAAATTTGCCAAGTTCTGTTTTTACTGATATTAATAACAATATGCTTAAAAACAAATCTTAATCTATTAATTTTAACTTAATGAAAAATCTTCCTTAACGTGATTGAAAATATTTTCCGACTCAGTTAAAATAGAGTCCAAATGTAAAAAAAAAACATAAAAATGTATGAATTCGTAATAAATGTACCCTACATTTACAAATTTAATTTATTTTTCTTAGTAGTTTCCAAAAGGTAGCTCTTTAATTATGCAGCCTTTACTAGAACTCCAAAAAGACTGCCGACTCGCATTTTTTTTATAATTAACGTAGAGTGGCAACAGTCTAGCAAAAATCAACTTTTCAGAAATTCATGGCAGAAAATGTAAAAATATGTTTCATTATTTTAATTAATATAAACAAATATTTTGTGGTTCGCCAAACAAAAAAAAAACACATAAGTTATCTGAATGAAGTCTTGTGGCTTGGCCAGAATTTATTCAATACAGTGTAAATTTAAGCTTGATGTGAGTTTACTCTTCTTGAATCTAAAGAAATATTTTACAATAAAAAAGTTAATTATAGACCTTTACTTCTTATAGATAATGAATATGAATGTGGCATATAATATATATAAATATGTACTACTCTCTTTTTTGACGACCTTTCCAACAACTTTACAACTTATTTATTCTATAATAATTAAACAAAATCTTAAAAAAAAACTAGATATTCTAGATACCCTTTAGGATATTCTATATTTATATTAATAAAATATTAATTTTAAGCAATCTCCGCATCATCAGCAAAAGATGATTATGTATTAAATTTATGCAGCTGAACTTAACGCTAGATCTAGATATATATTTTATGGGCTGTTAAATAAGCTCCTTTCTACACTCCCCACACTTTGTTTAAAATTAAAAAATAGCCCATGTTAGGGCATTAAAATAAACTTTGATTAACTGCCGCCACTTGGTAAGTGGTAAGCCTTGGTGGCAAGTTCTATTTTTGGCCCTGGGGTCCACGTGACCGCCGTCGGATCCGCCAGTTTAAGTAGAACATCACGTTCGGCACATCAAACACTTGCGAAAACTGTTCGCAGGGTCCGAAATGGGAATGACAAACATTTTAACGGCTGGGCAGGCAGACTGCGAGTTGTGAGTATGTGAGGCGCCTGGAAAATGTCTGCTTTTCCATGTCTGAGACGTGACATAAATTTCATTTTCGCCATTAATTGCAACTGAGACTGAAACATAGAATTGCATTTCTCCCTCTCTCACTCTATTTATGTGAAACTTATGACGTCACTCTGCGCGTCTAAAGTATAACTAAAACTTTATCCATCGAATGACATCAGTTGGGGGTGTTGGGTGGATGGCAAAAAAAAAGCTTGCAATATCTGTGAAAGCTGCAACTGAACTCACGCTAACAATTGAAAAAGTATTTCAATTTGT